GTCCGCCTCCGCCCGAATCCTCGCCTCCGCTGAAGCCGCCTTTCCAATTGGAACCTCTGGACTTATTCCGAGTGGCGTAGGAGCGTCGACTCTTGTGCACGCACAGCAGAATGAGCACGGTCGACGCGAGGCCGCAGCCGACGAGGAGGAAGTTCGTGGATGCGTCCTCCATGTCTTGCGGTCGGAGTCGAGGCACCGCGCTGAGTTTATACGACACTGGATTGCTGAGGAACGAGAGAGGAAACATTACCGGCGACGCGGAGTTAGTGCGTGACTTTTTAATGAAAATTCCGAAATTAGTATGAAAAAGGTTAAGTACTGCGCCCAATTTAAGCCCATCGGCGTGCAAATCCTAGAACCAATCGATCGGGACACCGGTGGCGTTCGCGCTTGCTACATGTAAAATTTTCCTGACTCGGATGGGTGTCTCTCTGTTCCCCTCATAGCATGACTATTGGAGCTATTACTGTTTATTGATGTCATCGACGTAATGATATCGCACATTTCGATCTGACAGTAGGCGTTCGACTGCATGTTGGACTTCAGACGTTCATTAAAATCTTCATTTTAATGACACTTGATAGGTGTTGGTCCGCGAATATACAGCATTTTGCCATCCACGGTCCCTCTCCCCTTTCTCCCTGAATTCAGTTCCTGACCACTACATTACAGCATTATGGACTAACACTTGAAGAGTATGAGGAAGCTAGAGGAACATGAAATCACCCAGAGGTAGAAATGAGGCCGCGCCAAAGATCGGCGGGACAGAAACTTGCATCTCATCTCGCGCTGGTTTCCTTACATTAGACATTAATGGTCAGTATAGTCATGGTAGGAAGAAAACAGAGTTCTATTCCCTGCCTAATGGTCCAATAGTCAAAATTGTTAGAAGAGGAAAGTGTTGGAATGGGAAGAGAGTCCACGAGAATGAGCAGAAATATATATTAATAATAGCAATAATCCTAGTAAGGGACGTCCAACTGAGTCAGGTGGATTCCATACGTAGCAAAGACGAACGAAGATGGCACCACAGTCGATACCCACGCACGACTGAGTATCCGCTTATAAGCAAATCCCCTGCTCGACTGACTCGCGACGGACGGCCTCGCATCTTACACATCCCACTGCGACGCAGACGGAGAGCGGACGGGGATGACACATTCACTCCAGCCCGTGCTTGCTTCCCGTGATGTAGACGTGTCACTTGGAAAGCAGAGCGAGGTAACTGGAGAGCAGGAGGCGAAGTGGAGAGTAGGTACGTCCATATGCGGAGACGAGGGAAGCTATGCTCGGATCGCATCTATGCTCCTTTGCGCAACCGGATTTTCTCCCATTGCAGGAGCTGACCTTGGCCACCGATAAACGACTGCAAATGTCAGTGCGAGGAGGTCTGTCCTACTACTCATCTTCTATCTGTTTCGCCCGACTGTCTAGTATCTACCTATATGGGAAAGCATGATTACGTACAGATGTCTAAGATTGAGTGTAAAATGAGGTGGAGAGGATGGCAAACGGTTTATCGAGACAGATGTAATGACCCAGAGGCCGGTTTGGGACTACTGGGGCCCTAAGAAAGTCCCACATTTCCTATTTTCTCTGAAACGGACGACGAGGAGCATTTCATCCTTCGAGTTGCGCTACTTGCGTCTATCTGAAATTCTATAGACGTTCCTGCACTGTCAGATGATTACCTCAGAGAGAAACTTCATATTCTTGGTTCTTTTCTCTCTCCGAGCAGCTTCTGCATCTTGATTTATGAATCTGAGACAGAAAAAGGTCCTGCAACGCAAAACTTATTAAAATAAATTCCCTTCTCGCCAGAGCTCCGCCATTCATGACACGCACGGCCACTGCTTTTTCCCATTCTTCCGAATCCAAATACAATGCTATTACGTGAGAAAGGCCCTTTTGATATTTAGAAAAGTCAAAGCCACAAGGAAAGCCCCAACATAGAGTCCCTCTGAAACTGTTCCTTTCAATAGGAAACCGATGAAGTGGAATGAAGGCCAGAGGGACTGAGAGCGTAACCTACCTCCACGAAATCTCAGAAGGTAGTGACGAAACCCGGTGCAGGTCGTCTGGTTTGGCGAAATGCATGATTCGATGGCGCATGCGCATTACAAAGGCGCGCTCTGCTGCGCTGAGAATGAACCCTCTTATAACCCTCCCCTGGAGGACGGGAGGCACAGAGGGGACGCAGGTAATGGGGCGCCTCGTGGAGATAGGAAAAGAGCCCAGCCTGATATGACCAGCATTAGAGCGATATCTTCTCGGGTAGTACAAAGGGCGTCCGTAAAGTTTCCGGAAACATACAATAAAAACTAAACCATTGTTTTCATCGCTACAAAAATCGGTACACGGTAACATACCAGCAAACAATTTGAAACACATAACGTTGAATCAATATTGAATGAACGTTGGGGACTTTGATACAACGTTGGTCCAACGTATCCTTTTCTGAGGTGAGACCTCACTCTGCCCTCAAGATAATTACTGTTCGAATGTATACAATTCAACCATCTGGCGAGATAGTGATTGTGAACCCCTTCTGTAGAGCCCTTTTTTTTTATTGTAGCTGGCGCTCGAAACCATGAAAGGAGACGGTCGTATTAAAATTGTCATACAGTTGACTTGCTATATAGCGATAGCATTGGAAAACCTGCTTCTCCTTTGCGGGATACGGATCTTAACTTCTTGCTGACCACCCTATCCTATGAGTAGTCACCAAACGCAGCGCAAGGGCACGGATGTGGAAAAAGGGCATTTGTGCCCATACTCCCCTTTCCCAGAGAGCTCAATTCTTGAATTGTTATATATCCTTCACGCGCAGTTATCAGGCTGTCAGCTGTCGGGACATTTTATAACCTTTGGAAAATATACCTGCTGAATTTTTAAGAACCTGCTTTATGACTTACTGCAATTACATGACTAATAAAGTTCGGAAATTTGGTAATACAGTTTAACTATTAAAACATACTGAACTTAAATAACCTTATTTTTTTTAGCAGTGTATTTCATAACAAAAATTACAGATGGAAATCGCGTGTCCTCGGCGTCCCACTCAGCTGCCCTGTTCCTCTGACTCTTCAACCAAAAAAACAGCACTGCAGGTTTTATTACTGGGCTTCCAAATCCCAGGGATAATAAGCATGCAAGTAACCGGAAAGAAACTTTGATTAGCCAAAGGAATCTTAGAGTCGAACACTCGATACTCCACAAAAATTATCACATTTATTTATTAGACGCTTTGTGGGGAACATCTTGCAGCCTGATGAGAATCCAATATTGNTGGTGCAATGGAGAACATGTGATTTTTGTTTGTCAGCCTTTTTTACCTAAGAGGTTTTGCATTCCCAAAGAAATTAAAGAAAAATTGAATCCCAATTGACTAAGAGGCTATCACATCACGCTAAATGGAGTCTTCAGTAATGGAGTTTTTTGAGTTCACAGCAATGTCAGCAGATACATCTCATCGTGTCAACAACAGCTGAGGTGTCTCATGCCTGCCTTTTTGGTGCGAAATAGACGCATTCTCCAACGTGCTGATTACAATGAACAACATGCTGGGGCCACTTGGGAGAACAAAATGAGCAGCAGTTTCACTTTTGCACAATTGCAATTATCATCTTGGGAACTGTATCCACATTCAAAAATGTGGCAGTTCAGGCAGAAGCACTAAAATATAGTACTTCACTCCTGCCTGAAATAGTCATAGGTAAAAAAAAAAACTTTTTCAGACTCAGGAAATGAGGGCTTTGAATATAGGAAACATGTGATCATCTTCTGAAAACAGGGGCATCTTGGTACACAGGATCTTCGCATATAACAAAATTATGTCCTTGCTTGAAGCATTTCAATTGAAGAAAGGAATTTCTTGTCTTGTTTTAAAAATTAAGTTTGTCTTTAGCATGGCTCCCATGATCGTGCAGATTGCCAATCACTTCCAATCAAATTAATTAGGAACCAATAAAGGCATAGGTTCCAAAACGTTTAACTTGTGCCACTAAGGTCAATGCCCCAGTTTAGCAACTGTTGTGATAAGGCATAAGACATACGTACATAAAACAAAGAGTATCTCAAGTTTACTCAGTGTACAGATTGAAACAGACAAAAAAGAACAAAACACAGAGAAACTGAGACCTGAATGACGTAAATGAACCGTTCGAGCACGAAGACACAAGGATTTCTGCCCAGCTTATCTTTGAAATGGGGAGAAGCAATTTCTCTGCTAAGCAGAAGACAAAGAGAGATTGATGTAGAGAATCACAGTCTCGGAGAACCTATATGATACGGGACAAAAAACGCACACACTCTCAGTGCTCGGGTTTTGCCTGCACGGGTTTCTTTTCTGTCTCATCCTTGGGCTTCTTTTCCTTTCCACTCTTGCCCTCTCGCTCTCGGTCCTTTTTCTTCTCCCCTTCTTTACCCCTGTTCTTCTCCTTTTCTTGAGATCGCTTCTCCTGGCGTAACTTCTCGTCTCCCCGATTCCCGAATCCATCAAAATCATCCTCAGATTCTGAGTCGTAAGGAATCTGCGCCTTTTCTCGTGGCACTGTGGGGCATATTAAAATAAACATGACTACAGCACGTAACACATAAAAAAGAAGGAAACAAGTTGAAAATAATATGAAAAATATATATGATCAACTATCAATTCACACTGGGAGAATTTATTTGTAGGCCCTCCATTGTTCCTCCCTCCCTTCATCACTAGGAATGCTGGATTACCAGATATGAAGGAAGCTGCCAACTCAGTCACCTCAGAATAACTTTTCAAATTCAATGTATTGGTATAAAGAGAAATCTCCAGATCCTAAATGTTGAATTCCCTGGGATTAATCAGTAATTTTGCTTTCATTAAATGTGCGATCTACAGAGTGCTAACTTTTTATGAACTTCCCAAATTTTGATGTAAAAAAACTGTTAAATTTAGCTCAGATGTTGAAGGCAGTTCATTAGTAAAAAAATACGAAAATTCTAGCAATTCTAGCTTCAGATATGAAACTCCCCTGGGGTGGGAAGGATACATAAGCATCAAAACCTCATGCAGCCATATTTCATCCTTTCAGGTGGAAGACATACAATTATACATTTAGAGTATTTCTAGCTGCTTCTAACTTCTGTTCCCTTTCTTTAAATACAAAATAATATGGCTTGAGACACTCCTGATAAATATATAACTCAGCTCTTCATATGAGCATTCTACTAACCTTCATCCAGGTAAACATCAACCTAACAGGATATACATAAATTGTATAGGGCATATTTGAGTATCAGGACTGAGGACAGATGAGAATGATGGAAGCAGGAGGCATACGGGTGGGGTCTCGGATGACAAGAAACCTCTTGGCTACATCCATGTCCTTAGTGGCTTCCTGGAACGCCTTCACTTTTTCCTGGAACACGTCGACAAACTGCTTCCCATCAGGAATCACAAACAGCTTCTTGAATTGCTTGTACAGATCCTCCGACTTCTTCCTCACTCCATTGTGCTTCACTTCACGTAGCTAGAAACAGCAAAATACCAGGGATGTCAAGAGGGAAAAATGGACGGACACAAGGTAAGTTAAATTAGATAACATCAATGTAAAATCTTGGGACAAGGTAATCAAAATTGATGCTCCTACATTCATGTTACAAAAAACTGAACTTGATCTGAGCCTACACCAGCAAATACAAAAAAGTATGAAAAATGAAATGGAATGAAAAATATATTGATAATTACTGATACCTGCATAGAATAGGGACACAAAGAAAACACCGAAGTACTGACTTTTCTATGAACAATGACTTCCTTTTATTAAAATTTCACTATTGGAGTTTGTAGAACGAAGGAAATGCCATTGAATACCTTTCGGATGCAATGAACAATCGCAGGGTGCTTAATGAGCATGAGAGGTGCAAGCTGAGTAATGGAAGGAGCCTTCTTCAAGATTGCAGCCAATTTGTCATAGTCA